TGGTAAAGGAGTGCGGCTCTGGTAAGCTGGAGCATTCATTGTTTAAGGCGGACCGCAGATGATCCAGGTGAGGATCCTTCAACGCTCTGGAGACACCGTACTCTCAACTTCACGGGGCCCCGCGAGCAATGCACAGAACACCCCTTTATGATGAGAACGGACCCTGCAGGCAACCTCTGCCCGGGCAACATCAAGCCCACCACCGCCCGGGGGACGCTCAGGACTTAGAATGCTTGAGAATAGAAAATGGGTCTATTGGAAAATACAACGTATTAGAGCGTATTTCTGACTTAGAAATAAGAAATTAGAACATGAGTCACGGTAAGGTCACCTGGGAGTGTCAATGATGGATTGTACATGAGACACTTGTATTAACGAAGTCTCATTCATTCAATTCAGTGGAGGTACCTCGCGCATGTGTTGTAGGATGCATTTGATGGAGTGGTGGCGCCCCAGTCAAACGGAACGTCTCCATGCAAGAGCCCACACCTTGGCAGATATCCCCCTTTCCCCGTTCATTTAGGGGGCCCTAACGCCTACCCTTCTCCAGGGAGGCGCTGTCCTTGCCCTGTTTTTGGTTAGTGAATCCACTTTCACAGGTCGGTCACTCAATCCGCGAGTCACAGACAAGTGTGGTCGGCAAGTCTCTGCCGCCCTCCCAAAGATGTCCACGCCTCCTATCCTAGAACCTGGTGTTGTTGCGGTTATTACGTAGCAACAAGGGATGTCGCAGAAAAAAATGGGAGAGGGTACGCGATGGCAAGCAAGCCTGACAGATGAGGTGTGACGGACCTTAAAAATAGGGATGCCACACCCTGGATTGACTGGGGTGCCGGGCCCATTGCATCACGCACAAGCCTTTAAAGAAGAAAATCTTTCTCTGGCATGGGAGAGGAGAGCACGCGACCGATATGCCACGCGAGAAGTCAGGAGATCCAAGGGTGATGATTCCAACGGGCCGCCTCGCTGGCTCTGAGGTGGAAGGTACCCAACCTAACCTGCAAGGCCCAGAGGAGGGGACCCTAGGAGCTCAGCGTTGCACCGCAATCCCTTTCCAAAACAACCAGCAGGAAAACAAGAACGGAAAGCCCAACAGGCCCAAAGAACCCCAGATTGTGCCAGCAACTCGAATGAGCTTCGAGACCTTGAATCTTCCCAGGAGATCCCGAAGAAACCCAGGAGGTGGCACATCGATTTTGAACCTTCTCGTGACCCGAGGAAGAAAGCCCCAGACACCCACAGTCTCTTTTGCTGGGTGCACCTGAGGATACCTGGGCGACACCTGGCGCACACCTGAGGCACATCCTGGGCAAGGCTGGGGAAGCCCCATTCCTTGCGGTGGTTGCCGGGTGCTCGGGCGAGGCCTGGCCTCAGCTTCCTTCCTGGCGTAGACGGCGTTGCGAAACAAGCAGGAAAGATATTTCCTAAACCAGCGTGGGGCAGACCCTATCACCACCAGGGGCTGTGTCGTACCATCTAAAAAAATCTCACCAGAGCACACCCAACGTTCTGAAGTGGGGGGTGCAGCCTGCACCCCAGGATGCACCCTACTTCTGTGGGTGCTGGGAGGCAGATGCGGCCAGCAAGGTCCTTGCTATGGCGGCGTGGGACCAGGCGGCTCAGAGGGTAGGGGTTCCTGTGGGCCAGTGGAGGGACCAGGTGGAGACCTTGGTCCCGGACCTCTGCAGGTTGCGTCTGGCTGTGTGTGTGTGTGTGGTGTGTGCTGAGGAGGGTGCTGGCGCTGGATACCAGGCGCGCCTTCCGGGTCCCTGGAGGACATGGTGGGTCTGGGGTGCTCCAACAGCGTGTTAAGGCCCCCAGGGTTAGTGCAGGACTTGGGGTCTCGGTGGACTGGGGTGTGATCTGTGAGGGTAGGACTTGGTGGGGCGTGCAGGTCTGAGTGGGGCTGTCCTCAGGCTCTTGGAGGGGTCCATATGGGGTTCAGTTTATGTCCTCGGCAGCTGTGTGGATGGGGGTCCAGTGGGGCTTCCTGTTGGGCGCTTGGTGTATAACAGGTCTGTCGTCCCTGCAAGGGGGGGTCAAATGCTAATACCCCACAGGAGGTTCTATGGTTCTTGTGTCAGGGCTTCTCAGCGAGAGGCCTGGTGCCTTCCTGTGGAGAGTCCGGTCGTTACCGGGGAGCGGTAATGGTTCCTGTGGAACCAGAGGTGGGAGGGGTTGTGGCTCTGACTGGGGTGGGGGAGGGGACCTAATAAGGGGTCCCTGCGGGAATGGGCGGAAGGGGTCAGTATGTCACTGGCCGTCTGGTCTGGTTTCCCCGTGGGTGATCCCGTGGACGTGGGGCTACCAACGGTCCATCCAGGCTCTGGGTCCCTGTCGACGGCTAACGGGCGTGGAGATCTGTGGTTTTGACTTGGCTCTGCGGTCCTGCGAGGGTGGAGGTATAAGGGAGGGTCGGAGCTCCGTAGCGGGTGTGTGTTAATGGGGCGTCCTGTAGTCACGGTGGCGGTCTGTGGTCCTGGCTGGGATAAGCGAGGTGGGGGATTTGGTTTGGGTGTCCAGTTCCTGCGCTGGACCCTCGTGGTCCTAAGTGGAGCGTCCAAGGCAGGCGTTTCTGGGAGTCCCTTTGGGAAATTTGCGCCATGGGGCAGGGTCTGCAGGTCCTGAAGGTCTGGCAGTAGGGGTCTATCGAGTGACCGCAGAGGAGGTCCGTGGTCCTGGGAGGTTCTGCAGGTCCAAGTGAGGGGCCGCAGGCCGGACAAGGGGGGTGTCTGGTGATCCGGTGGGGTCTTGGGGGCCCCGGGGCAGGGGGGGTCTGCGGATCCAGGAAGGGACCGGTGATGGTCTGGGCGTCCGGGGCGGGGTCTGGGGTCCCACGGGAGGGGGTCTGCGGTCCGGAAGTGTTCTTGGCTGAAGGGGGGGTCTGCGGTCCGGGAGGGGCTCGGGCCGGGAGTCGTGACCGCAGGTCCGGGAGGAGCCGGGCGGGATCTGGAGCGTCTTTGAGAGGGGCCCCAGCAGAGGGGGGGGTGTCTATGGCCCAGTTGGGGGTCTGAGGTCCCGGAGCGGGGGTCTGCAGTCTGAGCACAGATGTCCTGGCACTGGGGTCTGCAAGGTCAGGAGAGAAGTCCGTGGTCCTGGAGGGGGGGTCCAGGCTGCAGGGAAATCTGCAGGTACAGAGGGGTCTGGGCGGGGGCGGTCTGAGGTTCAACCTAAGAGGGGCCGGCGCGGGGCTCCTGTAGGTCTAGACGATATCGGAGAGTCTGGGGTCCGGGCAAGGAGAGCGTCATGAAAAAAGTCACTTAACAGGGATGGCCGGGCGGGGGCTATTGTGCGGTCCGGTTGAGGGGTCTGGGGTCCGCGGCGTTGACGGGAGGCAGGTCTGGGTCGCTCGGAGGGGCCCCGGGGGGGGGTCTGTGGTCGGGATTGGGGGGTCTGCGGGTCCTGGAGGGCCGGCGCCCGTGGGGACAGATGCGCGCGCGCGGGCGGGGCGGCCGGGGCGGGCGCTCTTCCGGCCTGGGAGAGACTGCGCACGGGTTCCTCGCGGCGGCCGCGGAAGCAGTCGGCGGGCGCATGCCCGGACGGCAAAGCCAATGTCGCTTGTCTGCGTCGACCCGCGGCGGCCTGCGCGGTACTACGCGGCCGGACCGCCGTGGTGCTGGCGCAGCTGCCTGCCGCCGCCTGGCCGCGGGGCTTCGGAGTAGGAAGCGCACGTAGCGTCAGCGGACAGCGGGGAGGGTCGCGGCGCGCTGGGGCAGCGGGCGGGGAGCGCGCAGCGGCGGGCTCGGCGGAGACCCCGGCGGCGCGGGGCGGGCCAAGGACGAGGGCGACCCGGCAGGGGCCTGGGCGTCCGGAAGAGGCCTGGGGCGCGGGCGGCGGGGCGCGGGGGCGGGGCGCGGGCGTGCGGGGCGGGCGGCGGGGCGCGGGCGTGCAGGGCGCGGCGCAGAGGCGGCGGCAGCGGCGGGGCGGGGCGGCGGGGCCGGGCGGCGGGGCCGCGCGCTCCTGGGGAGGCTCCGCGGCGCCCGCCGCCGGTAGCCCCGCCGCGCGGCTGGCGGCGGCTCTCCGCGTGCGCTGCGCAGCGGCCTCGCCGCCTGCCAGGGGCGGGGGCGCCCGAGAAGTCCGGGTCCCCCCTGGGCCATGGCCGGTCCCCAAGGCCCCACGCCGCGCGCACCTAGACCTCGGCGGCTCTGGGCCGGGCGCCGTGAGCGGCGGCCTGGCCCCGGAGGGAGGTAGCGAGGGGAGGCGGGTGCGCCCGGAGAGCCCCGACCCCACCGCGGCAAGTGGCACCGGCTGCTTCCCGGGACGGCGCGCGGGCGCGCGCAGGGCCGGGTCGGCGTCTCGGGAGCGCCGCGGGAGCCAAGGGTGGTCTCAGCGGGAGGGCACTTCCGCTCAGCGGCAACTTTTGTTTCTCCGGCCTTTGTAAACATCCTGCGAGTCACGGGTCTCAAACTTTCTGGTGTGCTGTCCTTTAACGTAGGTGGCCTGTGTTTTTTAATCTGTTTACGTGTTCAGAGCGGAACACATGGACAGCTGGCCACACTAGACACGCACAAAAATTTTTTTTCCTTGGGGCCATAGCGTTTTATTAGGAAAATAGATTAAAAACTTGGCAAACGAAACGATCTTTTCTCATTTCATGAAAAAACTTTTTTTTTTTTTGCATACATATATATATATATAGTTTTCTGTGTGTGAGTTCTATGCAGCTTGGAAAATAGTGCTTGGGGCTCCAAAGTTGAGCGTGAGTTAAATACGACTCACGTGGCAGGTAATGTGTTAAAACTGAGAAACCTGCCCGCAATGACTCAGGAACCGATAGAAATCGAAGGATAATACATCTATGCTACATTAAGGTGCTTGAGTGAGGACACTTTAAGTGAAAAACGACGATTTTCCAAAACAAAGGATTCAGAGGGGAGGGGTGGTGTTCTTACCTTGCAGACAACCCTGAAAACGTCTGGCCTGGGCAGTTAGGTGTGTCTCTGCCTACGGAATGGCAGCGGGTCGAGGGGCCTCAGAGACAGCGTGTGAGTGTGGTTTTTTGCAAGCCTAATAGCATTTGTGCATTTTTGCGAAAATACTTTTGACTTCCTGTTTACCCACTGGAATGGCCTCAGGGACTGGTGGCGGCCGGTCCTCGGTCCACACTCGGAGAAAACACTGCTGCACTAGGAGTAGGTATTTTTAAGGGAGCCTCACCCTCCTCCAACCTATACGCCCCTCCCCCTGGGGAGGGGGCAATTTTTTAAGTTTTGTGTGAGGCTAAGCTTTTAGTTTTTGGATGCAGCATGTCTCAGTAGGTTTAACCCACTTAGAGTAAGTTTAACCCACTTAGAGTAATTAGAGAGTGAAGAACCATTTGTACCCTGGGCTTAGAGGCTGGGGTTAGGGGGTGAGGGGCGGCGAGAAAAAAATGTTTCTCTTAAATCGGTCATCAGTTTGCAAAGGGAAGAATTGTTTAAAAGCAGTTTAAAGCCACAGAAGAATGGTGCAGTCTTGCAGGTCGTGTTTATCTGTGCAGTTTTTGCTGCTTTAGCCTGCTTAAGTCTGTTAATGCTCTCAGGGTAGAGCCAGAATTAAACTGAGAATTAAGTTTGAGCCCGGCAGGGTGGTAGTAGTACGTGCAGCGGTGAATCCAAAAGCTTGTCTCTTATGCGGTCAGGAGTGTGCTCCTGTTGTTCTCTCTTACTGATTATTATTATTATTTTTTTTCTTTTAAAGAAAAGATTGTTAAAAGACAAGCCGCTGATTAAGTCATGTGTCAGACAAGTGACTCTGCACCTTTTTGGAGACAGAATCGCTTTCAATAAAGATTAACTTTATTAGCTGACCTTCCCTGCAACCACTTCCTGTCTGTGGATTTAGGAATAATTTTAGACTTGGGCCCTGGTGTCTGGCTTCCCAATTAGCATTTTGTTTTTGCTTCTGACTAACTGGCAGGACTTAACCTTTGCCTGGGAAACGTCGAACTTTGCCCGGTGTATGGAGCTAGCCAAGAAGTGCCGGCTCGTCAGGGCCGATTGGAAACACCTGTATTTTATTTTATTTTTTTTCCTTAGAACTTCCAAATTGAATATATGCTCTTAGACATTTTATAAAGGGAATGCAGGAGGCACACACTGTGATCGAAAGAAAACGAGGAAGAAACTAACATGTAAGCTGCCCCTGAATGCTGTTTTCTTGAAGCTGATAATGTCAAAACAAGATAGTTACAAAGTAACAGTAAGTGTGGGGCGTGCCTTTGCAGAGATGGTTTATAAGCAAACTGAGAATTCCTTTAAGAGAGTCTTTCTCTATTTTCTTAACACTGTGTCTAGGTGGTCCGTAACAGTAAGGTGTCTATTGGTCAGATTTTAAACTATGCGATTTAATTAGTATATTTACTACCCGAGTATGACATAAAAACTCAAACACTGATGATAAGGCCTTCTGAAACCTGTTGAAAAATGATCCTTTTGTGCAAAAGAAAGTCTCTACCTGTCCCTATGCATAGCAGGATGGCTCCGTCAGATACTAAGCTTTCTCCCAGGCTCCAAATGAGTTTTGAAAAGGAGGGAAAATGGAAGGGAGGCCTGTTTTTGAGCCCGGTTCGAATACTGCGCAGAATTTTCCTTAAAAATCCTGCAGGAAGTAAGAGGCCACAGGATACTCCTTAACTTTCTGGGATTTAGAAAACGGACTTGTAAAGTCTGTATCAGAGGAGTGAGCATCTCCCAAATAAAACATGTCAACAGGAGCACTTAGAAAGCTGTTTTAGGAATAGTCCTAGTTTTCAAACTGTAGGGTTAAGAAAAAAACTAATAAAAAGCTATGAAGGGAAAGGGGATTCCTGTTGGTTTTATGAACAGTGAACAGTGGCTATAAGCATCGTGTAGAAATGAGCACAGAACTTTTCAAGCGTGTCCATCACGGGGGGTTTCTTTTAGTGTCTCACAAAATGACGACCCCACCCCAAAAATTTGTTTATCTGTTTATGTGGGTGGCACCAATCAGTAATTTTTACCCTCTGAGAAAGTGAAACAGAAATTCAAAACATGTTTAATAATTTTTATTTAAAAGGAATGACGATAAGCCCATTACATGACACTACCAAAAAATATATATATATATATTTTTATGTATTTTTAAGTGGACAAGCAACAATTGTATATATTTATGGACACAATGTGGCACTTTGACTTATACATGCATTGGGGGATAATTAAAGTAATATCCATCACCTCACCTACTTTATTTATTTTTGGTGGCGAGAACATTTAGAATTGACTGTTTTAAGAATAATAAGGTATAATAATAATAATAAGGTATAATAATAATAATAATCTCTTACGAGTTTTGTATTTTCTTACGCTTATGTGTTGGTATTCAACTGGAATAACTTTAAAAAACGGAAACTATGTCAGGAGACGGATATCTTGAGTAGCGATCATTTTTCACTATGTGTGTGCATGCTGAGACATCGTGTTGCACACCTTAAAATATATAATTTAAAACCAAGTAAGTACCAAAAAAACCTACTCTTTGGCAATTTTGAAATAATGTAATACATTGTTATTAATTACCTATAGTCACCACGCTGCGCAGTAGAGCACAAAATTTATTTCTCCTGTCTGAGACCTTGTACCCTTTGACTCTAAGGTGTGTATTTTTTAAAACACAAAATAACTGTGATCTCCAAAACAGTGAAACCTTAGGGAGAAGAGTAGCTGCATTCCAGGGTTTCGCAGCCTGTTTGGCTGAGGGAGAGGTGACTGGGTTCTTGCTCCTTGTATCTTGCCATGTGCATGTTATGTTTGATCACACCCGGGCAATCTGGAAGCTTCTCTCGTGGGCGTGCAATTGGAAAAGGCAGCAGCTGGCCGGACCCCTGGCAGCGTCTTGGGGGACAGCAGCCCGGGGAGGCTGGGACCATCCTTTGAGAATGAGCCCATCAGAGGCTGCTTGGAAGAACGATTTATTTGGGGCCTATCTCTCTCTCTCAGAAGCCACCTGTGGGCTGCTGCACCCAGATGGTGGATTGCGCAGACGATAGATTATGCAGACCGGTGGTGGATTGTGCAGACAATAGATTGTGCAGACGGTGGGTTGCGCTGGTGGGTGGGTTATCTTCTTCAATAACACACTTTGTTAGGGATTTGGGGATTCCTGCTTCCAGGACAAAGCATTGCTCCGGGTGCCAGGACCCCTTTTAGCCTAATAATAATAAAATAATGGAATAAAAAAAAAAAAAACAAAACTTGTTCTAAGTGCTAGGACCTCTTTCAGCCAAATAATAATAATAATTATATGAGTCAAATAGACGTGTTCTTGGTAACAGGACCTCTTCCAACCAAATAATAATCCTACTATAATTCTAATAGGATTTTAAAAACCTGATTGTAGGTAACAGGGCTTCCTTAAAGTAAATAATAATCCTACTGTAATTGTAATGGAACACAAAACTCATTCTATCTAGGTGACAGGGCCTCTTTCAGCCAAATAATGATCGTAATAGACCGTGAAGCTTTGTTCGGGACGTCAGGACACTTTTCGGCCGAGTCTTCATGTCATAGGAAGATCTGGTAGAGCCCCACTGGGGCTCTTGGGTAGGACCGAGAATCTGACGTCTCAGTGTGAAGAGTGAGGCTTTCTCAGGTGCTTTCTGGTTTTCCTTCTGGTTCGGGGATTCTCCCCCCTTCGGAAGTCCCGGAAGAGGACGTTGTGTTGGGTTCTCCCCGCCGGCACGTCCCGTGGAAGCCCTCTTTCCCTCAGCTCCTGCGTTAGTGCGGACCGGGGCGCTGGGGCTGCGCACCATTCCCATCCATCCCACTCATCCATCCATCCATCCATGCACCCATCCATTCTAGTCCATCCGTCCATCCCATCCTATTGGTTCTGTCTCTTTGGAGAACCCTGTCTCACACAGAGGCTAATAAAATCTGTAACAGAACTGAACAACAGAGCAACGCTGTCTTCATGGCATGCAAGCTAGAGAGTGTCATTTGTGTTACAAACAGGCTTGACGCCTTGCACCTCCAAAGACATGAAGCATCGCAGGTATTTATTGGAGAACATCATTGTTACCTGAGAGTGGCCCCAATAATTAGAATGTCCCAATAGAAAAAGCTTCCTGGAGCGTTACAGATGCTCACAGCTGGCTGAGAACTCACACGCCGAGATGCCCGTGAATCAGTGTTGGCTTTTGCACTAACATCTCACCCTGCGGATTACAGAGATCTTGCACGGCGATGTTCAGAGACAACGGGCAGGCATGGTAAAGGAGTCGCGCTCTGGTAAGCTGGAGCATTCATTGTA